CTAATCATGCATAGCGTCGTTTTGTAGGTCATGTCTGGACCTTTCAAATCATGTATAGACTTGCCAGATACGAGCTCTGTAGCGCTTTGTACATAGCCGCGAAATTCAAAAGACAAAAAAGCGGAAGGGAGATATGTTCCAACTATTATAAAAGAATGGTTTGAAAATATTACCGACGAGTTTACAATAGAAAAGGATTGCATCTTATCAATTACCACTGATGGTGGTGCTAACATGGTTGCTGCAGTGAATAAATTTTTGGAAGATGGAAAATGAATTCCTTGCATGGCGCATTTGCTGAATTTAATAGTGGATGACGCAACAAGAGATAATGCACCAGTTCTTGAAATTGCCAATCGTGTCAAAGCCATTGTTACATATTTTAAACAATCTGTGAACACAATGGACGATTTGCGAGCAGAACAAGAGGGACAAAAGAAAGAGGGAGAAGTGTTAACACTTATACAATCAGTAAGCACAAGGTGGAATTCTTGTCTTGATATGTTGGAAAGATTCAATACATTATCTAAGATTTTAGCAACTAGGGGGAATGCACCTGATATGATAACTTCTTCAGAGTTAAGTGTCATACGAGATCTGATAATATTGCTTACCCCATTTAAGCAAACTACTGAAGAAATTAGCGGCGATCAGTACGTGACTTCTAGTTTGGCGATTCCCATTGCAAACTTACTTCAGAAAGGACTTGAAGAAGTAAAACCTTTCACCGAATTTGGTGTTGCTGTTCAGAAGAGTTTGCTAAACTTAGTTATTGCCAAACTAGAACCACTAGAGCGACATTTACATCTTGCTATAGCAACAATTTTAGACCCCCGCTTTAAGCGTATTCATTTTAATTCAGCACTAGCTGTTTCCACTGCAATAACCGCATTGTCAAAAGAAATACGTTTAGAACATAGACGTAGAGGACAACTTTCGCCTGAACCTAGACCCACAACCACTTCCATAATTCCAAATTCAGAAAATTCTTCGCCGTCGTGGTCCGGACATGAAAAAATTATGATAGATATTGCTGCAGCAACCTCCAGTTTACTTTCAACCAGTGATGGTATGCCTAGCGAACTAAAGCAATATCTAGATCAGCCTATAATACCCAGAAAAGAGAATCCTACAAAATTCTGGTTTGATTGTCGTCATTTTACTCCAGTCCTTTCCCACATAGCTCTAAAGTATTTGATAACGCCTGCGTCCTCGGTTTCCTCAGAGAGAGTGGCATCTGCTGTAAATCTCGCAGTACCCAATAACAGAAGTCGACTTACAGCCGAGCATGTAAATCAAAGAGTTTTTCTTATGTCTGTATCAGATAAATATTGGTTGATTAATAAATAATTAATATTTTTTATTGTTGTCCATGATTTAAAAAATTTAAAAATGATGTCTATTGATTAGTATTTATCTAGTAATGTAAGATGATTGAACTAGATTAGGCCAAATATTTTTTTTTCCTATCACACCGATATATCGATATATCGATATTTTTAAATAAAAATATCAATATCGATATTGATATATTCAAAAATTATCGATACAATATATATCGATACTTTATTGCATTTCCGACATCCCTACACTGCACAACAAAAGGTAAAGAAAAACAGATCTCGAGGTCAGCAATTCAAAGAAAACTGAACTGCCAAAACGAGAGTCGACAGACGGAGAAAAAGAGAGCGAAAGAGATAAATTAACGAGTCTCGGCCCCACCCAAAGTCGCTGGCAGGCGACGCGTAGAAACATGCCTGCCCGGCAGCACAGCTCATTCATAATGAATAACCGCTGCATAAGGGCACAGTAAGGTTAACCTACAATTAATATTTCAGAAATATCTCATGTTGCTGTAATTACTCATACTCTATATCTTGTTATTTAATCATATTTTATATTACTTGTTGTTTAATTGTATTCTTATTTCACTTGTTATTTATTTGTGTTTGTATTTACTCTAAGAATTTTCCTGCCGTCTTGGAGTGCGTGTGATCGGTTCAACTATTGAACTGTCTTTGTGTAAGAACAGTATATATATATGTTAAAAATATCGTGAACGAGACAGTTCGTAAACCAGAGGATGAAAGACGGGTCGTCTTCACGCTACTGCTCATTAAAATTAAATCGAATTAACAACATCTTCAATCAACGAGTCTGATTTCCCTGACACAAGAAGCATCCATGAGTTGGTGAAACATTACACTGCTTTGCAGTGGTATTACATTTAATTTTGGATTAATTTTTAATAAATTAATGTAGTCATTGATTTCCATTTTTGGATTTAATATTTGTATCGTTGTGATACATTTTTTAGTTTTAGTTTAAGTTGTATGTTTTTTAAATGGATTCACTAGTATTGTATTTAAATTAAGTCTGGGTTGATTCATTGCAACGTGGTGTGATACTGTTTACTGATGCTGCACTTTTTGGTTATGTTATGCATGGCTTCGTTTAGTTAATGGCAATTTGTATTATTATAATTTACATTGTGTATTGTACTTCACATCCGCCGTTCCTTCATTCGTACACAATAAACTGATGTACCACAACCAGCAGCCAGCGACGCAAACTGCAAACGTGCCGCGCCAAAACTGGAATCAAGCCCGGCCGCACCGTAATCATGGCAAATCTCCCCTCTATTTGTTGCACTCTAACCAACAGACAGCGACAAACTGCCGATGTGGCACAAACTGGAATACAATCTGTAGCCGCACCGTGCGCATTTTAGTTGAATAGAAGGGGGCTTGAAGCGACTGCGCGTCGCCGTATTAGCATTGATTCCACGAATAATATAATATAGGCATCCCACTATGTTGCTAAATGAAAATAGATATAGGTACCAAGCAAATTAGGGCAAACTGATTTGGTGGTGGTTTGATGCCTATCGATTATCGTCACAAAATAACACTCTAACACTCTGATTTGAAACTTGCTCGCGTTGACACACAATTGTGCACATATATTTATTTTCTCAACGACAGTAATTTACATTTTAATTTGGCAGAAATCAAACAGTGACAGAAATCATAACTAGCCACTAAGATGATAAATATTATAAAAAAAATTCTTAACAATAAAGACCCTATAAGTGTCATTAAAAAATTAAAAGAAGCTAAAAGGGTAGAGAACAATGTCACTCATACTTCAGTTACAACGAAGTTATGCCATATGAGACTGCAACCCAAGGAGAGTATTGATAATTATTGGAATAGATTCGACACACGATTGTTGAATATTAGAACTGTGACAATGCGGTGCCTTTAACAGATGAGGAAAAAAGATCAACCTTTTATCAAGCTGTCTTCAATGTTATACCAGATATACGTATTGCAGACTTAACTCTGAAACTGGGTGCAAGTGCAAACCAAGCAAAAAGATTGAAAATTCATCACGACAACTGCCATAGATGTAATAAAATGAGTCACTACCTTGAACAGTGTCCTTTAGAAGCAACTGGTGAATGGCATTGTTATATTTGCAAGATGCTGATCACAATGCAAATATTTGTACCAAATTAGATGCTGTTAATCAAAACTCGAGAAAGCCTGACTACAAACGTGGTCATGGTCGTGGTAGATCAAAACTCTTCACCTACGATAAGGATGAGATCATGACACACATTGCACCTCTTCAGGGACTTTTTCGTGAGTTAAAAGAGGAATTGATGACTGTGGCACAAGTCCAACTGCCAGACCTGCCAGACGAATACTTCGAATTTAATAGTGTGTGGTAGTCTGCCCCTTTGCAGATCGTACTTTCAAGAAATTGACCAAGCGTCTGCGTTTAATTGAAATGCGCTTGCCTTCTAAAAAGGGTAACTCAACGGCGCTGGTTGCGGAGAGGGGTAAAACGCACAAAAAAAAAATGTCGTCAAATGCCACAAATGCAAAAAGGCAGGACATTTTGCTCGTGAGTGTAGGAAAAAAGATAAACATTCGAACAGTGACCGATAAACAGACAGTGACCGATAAACAGACAGTGCCGGACAATGACCTTTGAGTAGCAGATAATGGCACAACATCACACATGACTAGTCAAAAGGACTAATTTATTTCTTTCAAGAGATTTGAAAAAGAGAAAAGTGTGCATTTAGCGGATTCCAGTGAAATAAGTGTGATTGGTTACGGGGTAATTAATGTAACAATGTGCGTTGGCGGTAGAGATTACCTATTTGCAGGACGTTTGGTACGTGCCAAAACTCGGGCGTAATTTGTTTTCTGTGAGCGCAGCCTTAAAAAGGGTTTTTAATTCTATGCCGATGAACGGTCATGCAAGTTCGTGAGGAACAACGACGTGCGTTTAATAGGTAAAGTAAATCTGCGAGGATTGTACGGGCTCTGTATGAGCGTAATTCTGCCGATTGATAATTATCTTGATGACAGCGAAGCTATGCTAGCGAGTGGATCTTCCACAAAAGTAGAATCCCTGCAAGTCTGGCATGAAAGATTCTGCCATCAAAACAAAACGCATGTGCGTGATGTTCTAAAGAGGCACGGCATTTGCGGTGATAGTCGTGAAGAAGATGAGTTCTGCGAAGCGTGCATATTTGGAAAGCAGCATCGGTTGAGCTATCGCGAAAAGACAGAGACGAAAGTGCCGGAGTAAGCGTACATGCGGATGTATGCGGTCCGATGCAAGAAAAATCGTTGGATGGGTCGCGATACTTTTCATGTATAAAGGACGAATTTAGCAACTATCGTCGTGTGTTCTTTATGAAACATAAAAGTGAAGCGGTTGAATGTATCAAAACTTTTTTTGATGAGGCTTTCACAGCCGGCGGGACAGTGCGGGAATTTCAGAGTGTCGGCGAAAAATAATTCGACAAGTATGCGTTGAGAGTGATTTTGTCCACGAAAGAGATCGTATTCACGATCACCATGCCGTACTAACCAGAACAGAATGGTGTGGCTGAAAGGGAAAATAGAACTCTGATGGAAAGTGCGCGCACGATTATTTACACGAAGAAGATGCCGAAGAAGATGCCGAAGAAGCTGTGGGCTGAAGCGGTCCACACGTCAGCATATGTACTAAACCGTACGGGTTCCATTTCACTGAAAGGGAAGCACCAGCGCAATTATGGTTTAATGTCAACATTACCACGCCCAAATACTTGAAGATATTTGGCACAAAATGTTACGTTTACATACCTTCTCAAAAGCGACAGAAACTGGATACCGCGTTTGGATACCGGATGACGATCGGGTGATTATTAGCCATGACGTCGCATTTAATGAACGTGTTTTGCAGAATTCTCGAAATAAAAAGGCTGGAGCTGCATCAATGCTGCAGAAAACGTCTATCGCAGAAATCAGTGTGCATTAACATCAAGAGGAAGAAGAACTTGGTGAAGATGATGTTCCCTCGACAAGTGGCAGCAATAAGGGCGGTACTTCTACTTCCACCGATTCCAAGATACCTGCAGTACCTGGAACGTCCAGATCAAGAGACCGACAGCTAACCCTAAAAGAAACATCTGAAAGGAAATTGCTATGGGACATTAATGATCCGAAATCAATAAAATACCACTACTTGTTAGGTGAAATGATTGCTTTAGACAACGAACCATTATCACTTGTTGAACGGGTTGGATTTCAGAGGCTTATGGCAACAGCTGTGCCCCATTATAGAGTACCTGGTCGCACTTACATGACCGAGAAAGTTGTTCCTGACATCGAAAATACAAGTCAGTATTTCGCAGACAACAGCAGTATCAGTGACATCTGATATATGGACATATCAGCACAATAACGAGAGCTTTTTGAGCTTCAGTGCGCACTGGATATCTGAAGAGTACTACGGTACGGACTCCGTACCCCTGGCATTTTGTGCACCTTCTGATGCAGACGTAGTCGCGAACTGGGAAATATTCCCAGTCGCAGAAAACGCGCCTCAGGCGTGCGAGTGCCTCTCTGCTTTGACCATCCTCATTCAGGATAATGTGGCGGGTTTTATTTTTGAGGCTTATGTTAAATGCAACTGTGACCGCTGCATTTAACCTGCGCTCCTCGCGCCCTTCTTTCTCTGCCACCAGTTGATTTGGCAGGCGCAGTATCTTCTCGTGGCTAACTGACTCCGGGACATTTGCTACCAACATCCTCGGAGTCAGCTTCTCTACTTCTTTGACCTTAAGTCCATGCTTTTTAAGGTCCATGTACCGCAGTCTCTTTGCCCCTTCGGGGTTAGTACAGTTTATGATCACACCGGTTTTCGGTGTGATCGCATGCGGACGACCCTGAAGCCTTCTTGCTCCGGGTCAATCTTAGCCAGTCTCTTCCTGGCCTCGTCCGCATCTCCTCCATCTTCCACGACGATGAGGATTGCCGCTTCTTCTTCCTTCCTCACCGACGCCGCCATCTTGGGGATCGCGACCGATCTCCCTTGAGGAAGCCTGTGGTGCAGGGTCCACCTTCTTAATTATTGGTGCTTGCACCAATCTGCTCTCTCGAGCCTCCTTAAGGCTAGCGACCAGCATAGCTGTTTCCTCGTCCTTAAGGATGAACGCCTTCCTTAGCTTCCGGTCTCGTCACCTTCGACTTGGCTTCGAGCTCGAAGACAATTGCCTCCAAACCCGTAAGCCTGTCGGACAGCCTATAGGCCTGTTTAGTCCGACTCACGGAGGGCGTTTCGCCTACGGATGTCGCCATCCTCAGGCCCCATGCAACCGCTTGGGTTTGCGGCCACGTGACCTATCTACCTTTTCGAGAACTCACTGTCCCTGCTACGAGGGGACTGTCGATAAGGATAATAAGAACTTTGGGGAAGTAATGATAGAATATAGCTTTTGTGAAGTACCGGCAATTAACCTTAGATTGTGCCGCCAATGTTTCAACTCATATAAGGTGCTAGTTGACACAAAAACTGTATCGACAAGATTTGGAACATGTAGTATCGCAAAAATGGTATAAGCCGATACCTACGCGTATTGTAGTATTAAGTCTGTAAGTTAGCATGTAATGACGTTGTAAAGCATAGTTTATAATATGAGCGCAGAGGAGTGGGACAAAAGGTTGGAAGGGCTAAGGGCCACTCTTCTGATCTGAGTGCAAACAGAGTAATTAGGTACGATTAGTTAAATCGTGGCTTGTAGCCTTTAATAAATTTAATTAGGCTTACTCCCTGTTTTGACATTAGAATTAAAATCCGATCTTACATTTTGGGAACTTGACCCCCAAGTGACAGTTTATTGAGTGATTGACAATAATTAAAGAAATTCAGACAACGCAGAAATTTTAACTGACGAGCAAGTGGCCCTGATTACCTTACCTGAGATAAAAGACTAACTCCGAAAACGACGTCTCAGGTTAGCACACAGAAAGAGAGAACTTCTCGATCGGTTAATGGCAGCGTTAAAGTTAGAACAGAAACATGGTGCACAAGATGATGACGACGAAGAATTGGATGACGACGAAGCTGAAGACGACGAAGCTGAAGACGATGAAGACAAAGTCGTTGGAGGCCGTGCAGTCAACAACGCCGAACCAAGGGCAATCGCCCGAGGTAACCATGAAAAAGGCGATCCTGAAGACGAAAAAAACCGTGGAAGTTCCGTTATAAAAGACAAAACCGCAGACCAGCAGAGCCTACTCTAGAGCGTACCCTGTTATTGCTCAAAGACGTTGAGAATTCATTGGATATATTCAGTGGAAATTATCTGCTGAGAATAAGCCGATGGATTGAAGATTTCGAAGAAATGGCCGAAGTGTATGGATGGACCGACGTTCATAAAGTTGCGTTTGGCAAGAAATTGCTATCTGGTTCAGTGTTGACATTTAGGCGCCAAGAAATGTGTAGTAAGACGTGGGCTAAATTTAAAAAAAGTCCTCAGAGACGAATTTGGAATAAAAGTGACTGATCAACAAATACACAGAGAACTCACGCAGAGAAAGAAGAATCACGATGAAACTCTTCAGCAGTATATGTATAAAATGCGAGATATTGCAGCTCAAGAGAATGTGGACAATCAATCGCAGATAGAGTATATTAGTCAGGGAATACCAAACGAAGTGACCACTAAAGCTGTTCTATATGGGGGAACAAATCTTCAGCAACTTAAAAAGCGGTGTGGGGTACATTTCATCATCTGGGCTTTCCAAATTCTTGTTAATTCTTATTTTTAATTTTAATTTTTGTTATATTCGTTGGAACATTTCTTTTGTGTTTGTAAGTTAGCAATAGTGAAGTGAATAGGGCGAGACGTCGGCCAGACGGTCCCGGCAATTATTACCGCCGGATAGGTATAAATATGTCAAGAGATTTGAATTAAGCGATTCGTACCCAGACTACAAGGGGTTACTCTGTTTTGTTCAGACTAAACAAATGTAGTAGACTAAACATTCTTGAAGGATCGAGCGTACAACCATAGAGCAGACAACAAAGGGACACTCAGTTCTAAACAGACATTTTTACATTTGGGTGCGGACCCGAGGGGTTCCGCATCAGATATAAAAGGGACACCTTCAATCAGAGTAGTTCTTCAGTTCTTCTAGTTCAGTTCAGTAGTTCTTATATCGACTCACTAAATGTACTTGCTTCTTAACTAAACTGCATTTTCAAACACATAATAATAACGCATTACCACAGCGGTTTAAGCAGTACGAAGCGATGAAGAGAGAAATGAAAGCAATGTTTATAACAGCAGAACGTAACGTAAGGCGGTGAAAAGCGACGGTGTTTTAATTGTGGTGAGTAAGTGATAGGTGTCCGGAAAAAGATAAAGGCGTCAAGTGCTTCAAGTGCAACGAGTTTGAACATATTGCAGAAAACTGCGGAGAAAAGAAGAAAGAAACAAAAAAGGAATCGTACGTTATGTCAAGACCTGTGTTGATTCATAGATATGTAAATCAACAGGGCAAAGTAGTAATTAAATCTTATAGCATAATTGTATGTTATATTTGTGCATGATATATTGTGGTAAGTTTCCAAATGACGTATTCTTCTTATATCTTACTAGCTGACCCGGCAAACTTTGTTCCGCCTCGCTTTGCTCTTGTGATTGAGAAGCACGAAGTCGAGTCATACTAACACGGCGCTTTTCACGTGCAATTTTTTGTTCTTCTTCAGTCCTTTCATTCGCAATCCTTCGAATCCTAGTTGCATTACGGTTTTGTCGGATAAGATTTGATCGTTTTGGTCGCTGCATGTTGAGTGGGGAAGCTACGAAGCATCGCACAAAGAAGAGACGGAGAAAACTCGTTTAGTATCTTCCAAAGAAGTTTTCACTTCAAAAAGAATCATATTACCTTCTCCTGGCCCTAAGCTACCTCTCCACCAATTTTTAGCTAAATTGGATTAGTCGTTCTTTAGTTATAAGCATGGTAACTAACACGACTTTGTTTTATATATATATATATAGATTTGCGTCTGCTAATCGGTTGTACTTAGGTTTCAATCATTAGCAGACGTACGTCACTACTTGGACCTATGTACATGACGTATTAGGGTAAAATGTATTAAATAGAAGCAAATGCAAACAAGAAAGCAGTTGTTAAGAAGCATCACAAGTGGTAGCATCAAATCTTCGGTGTCTCTTTCCTTGTGGTCTTCACCTATCCATACAACTCCAACGACTTTGTGCTGCATCAATGATCGTGCAAGTCCTTGCAGGAATTATAGAATTTACGCCTCTATAATCTCCACATATCCACACATCCATCGCACTTCAAGACGGCTACGCACACAACCTGAGAAGAAGAAATATATAAAGGAAGTGTCAATAGAGGACTTTAAGTTTATATCACTAGTGGATACATAAAGTGACCTTACCTTTATAAGATCGGATGAGTATGCTAGGGTAAGATCACCACCTTAAGGTAGTCGTAGGCTTCAATTAGACGGGTTGGTTCCACTGGCAATGAAACTTGGGGTAAATTCGAGAAAATTATGAATGTCGATGGGCACGATTTTCCAGTAACCTTGAATGCCGTGTCAAACAAAGTTTTGTCAAAACATAGCCTATTGTTGGGTACTGATTTCTTGGATCAAGTAGAGTTGCGATTCAAACGGGGAGAGGTAACCGTTTATACGACTTGAAGGGCAGACAAACGGTCGCAAAATCACGCCGAATATATTTCGGCTAAATACAGTAGAGCAGACCGCTGGAATAGATTTATCACACTTAGAAGAACCGCATTATCGAGAAACGATCCGCGATATTATCAAAGGTTACAAGCCGGAAAAGACACGAGACATAGGGATAACCGCGGAAATTGTATGCGAGTCCTATAGTTAGAGTTAGGAAAAAAGACGTTACAATCTGTGTTGACTTCCATGAGCTTAACGAACCCATTGAATGTCTGCATTTTTCAATACCTATGTATTTCGCAAAGTTATATTTAAATAATGGAGTTTTCTACGTTTCGTTAGATGAGGAAAGACGTAAATATACCTCTTTTGTTACGCCGCCGGGACGGTACGAATTTATGAAATTACCATTTGGTTAAAAAATATCGCCAACAGTCTTTCGAAAATATATAACTACATTTTTCAAAGAGTTTATTGACAATAGTATTCTTATTCTTTAGATGGATGATATTTTTATCCTAGCAAAGAATTCGAAGGAAGCATGGGATCGTTTATTGATGGTTATGAAATTAGCTGCAGAACAAGGGTCATTTAGGAATTGGGAGAAATGTCGTTTTATGTTGAAGGAGACTAAATACCTAGGTCATATAGTTTCAAAAAATACGATAAAGTCGTCAGACCATAAAACTAAGGCCGTTCAAAATTTAGCCCAAGCTGACGTCGGTCATAAAGATTCAAAGCTTTTGGGCCTTACGGGGTATTTCAGAAAATTTATTAGGGGTTACGAGAAGATAGCCAAGCCGTTGACAGACCCCTTGAAAAAAGATATAAAGTTTTATTTTGGGGAACAAGAGACAGAAGCATCCGAAACTTTGAAAGCAGTACTTACCGATGGGCCCGTACTAAAACTATACAGATTAGAGGCAGAGACTTAATTGCATACAGATGCGTCCATAGACGCCATTTTGAGGCAATTAGACCCAGATGACCTAAAATTCCATCCAGTTTATTATGCTAGTGGAAAGACAACACCTGCAGAAGCGAAGTATACAAGTTATGAGTTGGAGGTACTAGCGAAAATACGAGCTTTAGTTAAGTTTAGAGAGTACTTGTTAGGGATACCGTTCACCATTGTCACTGATTGTAAAGCATTTGCTATGACAATGAAAAAGAAAGATTTGTGTTTGCGTGTGGCCAGATGGGCCTTATTGCTGGGTGATTTTAAGTATCAAATGTGCCATCGGCCAGGCAAAAATATGCAACATGTTGACGGGTTAAGCAGAAATCCCTTATCGAGCATTATGTTTGTTACTGAGAGTGAGGACGGGCTAATTGCACGTCTAAGAAGCGCACAAGAAAAGGACAATGGGGTCAGTAAACTTTTAGGTGCCGTAGCGTGCAGTCAGGCCGAGGGATATATTCTTAGGAACAATATTTTATACAAATGTTGTAAAGACGATTTACTGATAGTTGTACCGAAGGCTATGCAGACTCAGGTGGATTTACTGATAGTTGTACCGAAGGCTATGCAGACTCAGGTGGTCGGGCAGGCTCATAAGCGTAGGCATTTTGGTGTCATAAAGACTGAAGCTATTGTAAAACAAGATTTTTGGTTTAAGGGGCTGCGAGAGAAAGTCGACTATGTGATAGCAAACTGTCGAATTTTCATCATAGCTGAGCGTAAGTTAAATAAACAGGACTATATTGACTATGTGAGCCCCATGACAGCCACAAAGCAGAAATACGCGCATATTTTTGTAATTGTCGACGCTTTTACAACATTTACGAGGCTTCATCCTACGAAATCTACGGATACTGCAGAAATCTTGGATGAAGAAGCTAGCTGCTGTGTTTGGAAATCCTCGAAGAATCGTTTCTGATTGAGGAACGGCGTTCACATCCAAAGCTTTTCAAGAATATTGTGCGGAAGAACACATTAAGCATTTGTTAATTACAACAGGGGTACCAAAAGGAAACGGGCAGGTGAAAAAAGTCAATAGGACACTTATACAATTGTTGACAAAATAAACTGCTCTGAATGTGGATGAATGGTACAAGCTTGTCGATAAGGTACAAAAGTTATTAAATGTGACGATAAATAGGAGCATGGGAAAATCTCTATTTCAATTAGTTGTTGGGGTCGGGATGCGCGTTAATGAAGATCTACAGATGAAGAAGCTTATCGACGAAGAATGGTTTGAAGTTTGAAGAACAACGGTGTTGACTACGTGAAGAAGCCAAAAGGAAGATTGCAGAAACGCAAGAACAAAACAAGAAGAGTTTTAATAAAAGAAGAAAAATGGCTACACAATACAAGATGGGGGATTTAGTCGCCATAAACAGGACACAGTTCGACACCGGCTTGAAACTCAAGGGAAAATTCTTGGGCCCGGGCTATGTATTGCGAGCATTACGAAATTATCGTTATGTGGTACAGAAAGTAAGAGAGCATGGAGAGCACTGAGCAGGGTCCAGGCAAACTTCCACAACTGCTGACTTTATGAAGCTCTGGATTGTCAACGATAGAGATGATATTTCTGAAGGCATCGAAGCGGAAGAGAACATCTGAGGGCAGATGTTATCGTAGGATGGCCGAAGGTAGTATCGAAAAAATGGTATAGGTCGATACCTACGCGTATTAAGTTTGTAAGTTAGCATGTAGAATATGACGTTGTAAAGCGTAGCAGAGGAGCGCAGAGGAGTGGGAAAAAAGGTTGCAATTACTAAGGGTCACTCTTCTGACCTGAGTGCAAACAGAATAATTTTGGCGTACGATTAGTTAAATCGTGCCTTGTAGCCTTTAATAAATTTAATTAAGCTAACTCCCTGTTTTCACATTAGAATTAAATCCGATCTTGAGACGTATTCCAGAATTCTTGAAGATTTAATGGCGGCTTAGGTACCACATCAAAATTAATGACCGACCGAAATTTTGGTTTCGGTCAAAAAATCTTGTTTCGGCTTCAGTTTCGGCCATAAATTGACCGGCAATTGCCGGGCCAATACATATATTGTTTAATATCAGCGCGGTCATAATATGAGACGTGGAAAAAACACGTTTGGATAACGTTTCAAATTATCGACTAGCGTCAAAACAGCATTGACGACTTTAAACGCATCGGTTGGTTCGTTTACATTCAAACACTACTCAAAACAAAGGTATTTGTCATTAAATTTACATGGAGCCACCCCCAGGAATCAATGGCCAAGTGTGCAAATTAGAAAATCACTCAACGGATTAAAACAATCTCGGAGATGCTAGAACGACAAGTTCAACTCATCCGCGTGTATCGCGGATTAATTAACAATGAATTTGTGATACTTGTACTTTATGTAAGTCTATCTCGATAAACATAAGTGAGTATATAAATAAACTGTTGAAAGTGTGATCTCGAAAACGCACATGGACCCAAAATTCCCGCGAACCCTAATGTGTTTAACAGATCCAAAGATAACTCCGGCAACTCTACAACTGCCTTATCGCGAAATCGTCGGTTCACTCATTTTTGCCGCAACGACTGTTCGACCTGACATCCTGTTTACGAGTATAACAAACATTCTCAGCAGAAAACTCAGCAATTATAGCGAAACTCACTGGAATGCCGCTAAACACGTGTTAAAATATCTCAAACACACAAAAAGTTACGGCATTAAAATCAGTGCGGACAGCGACAGTCTTAACATTGTAGGTTATTCTGATTCAGACTTTGCACATGTGTTATGACCGTTGTCCCACCAATAGATATCGTAGATAGCAAAGTAGTAATTAAATCTTATAGTAATTAGCGATTAGATATTTGTATATTATATTTGCGTACGACATGTTAAGTTTCCAAATGAAGTATTCTTCCTCTATCATATTTGCCTCTGCTAATCGGTTGTACTTAGGCTTCAATCATTAGCAGACGTACGTCATTACTTGGACTCTTGTACATGACGTATTAGAGATAAACATATTAAATAGGAGCGAATAAAAATAATAAATCAGTATCTTACCAAATTTCTTGTGTGTAACATTAACTGAGCAGCTAGTCTATGTAACCGAAGTCGCAACGTCGACTAGGCCACAACAGGTGACATGCAATCCAGACCATCAACGACAGGTTTTGCTTTCCTGGCAAATAACAACTTCATCAGCTAGAGGACACAACTTCAGAGAAGTGTAACCTGTTCCATAGCGGAAGCAGAATTTATTGCCGCATCAGAAGCAACAAAAGAAGCAGTGTGGATCAAGCAACTATGCAGTGAATTAAAGCAACCAATCAGTGCCATTAATTTATACATTGACAATCAAAGTGCTATAAAGTTAATTAAGGATCATATATATCATCACAGAACGAAGCACATAGGTATTACATATAACGTTGTTAGAAAAAAATACAAAAAATAGAGAAATTGATGTAGATTATGTAAACACCAAGCAACAAGCAGCTGATATATTGACAAAACGCTTACCTTACGATACATTTTCTAAATTACGGAATTTACTCGGTTTTAATGATATCAGTAAATCAGAAAATGTGTATCAGTAAAGAAAAGAAATATCTATTCGATTAATCATTTCTGACATATGTTAAATCGTAATGTTTTTTTACTACTATGGTTTGGTCTTATTTTAGAATGTCTGTATTTTTTGTATCATGTGTTAAATGACTCATATTGTAACCATTGTAAACAAGTAACGCTTAAGCGAGTGTTAAGTTGTAAGAGTTACTTGAACTGAGTATGTATGCAACCAGATGTACCCCTCAAGAAGTACAGCCCTCGAATGAGGCAGTACGTATGTAGCCATAGTTGAGGGTGCATCTCTTCCTGTGTTTTGAATATAAGAGGATTGATAAAGCAATAATGAACCATATAATCGTTGATATGCTCCACACGCAGTTCACAAATATCGGGTGAAATCTGAAAAATATTTTAGAACATCGCTGATACCGAAAAGATATGAAATAATGAAGTCTAAAGTAAGGACTTTAATTGTAAGAAGCGAGTGGGTGAGTGCTACCACCGATATCTGGACTAATGCATGTATAACACGTTCGCTTCTTAGTTTTACTGCTCATTTTATCTTGAATCGTTGAGCAAAAAGTTACAGAAATTATGAATCAATAGAGTTTAAACGGTTTAAATCTTAGAGTTTAAATCTTTAAAAGATTTTTCTGGTCCTAGGTGGCCATGTAGCAAAAATGTGCGCGATGCATGATCACTATGAATATGAATATAATCAAATTAGAATTGTTATACATGCATTAGTCCAGATATCGACTCCCGGACATTTGCCCACAAGACGATCGCTCACAAGACAACTGCGCACAGTCTTTACTGCGCACACGGACAATTGCTCACAGGGCTTTTGCTCACAAGGTGCGCAATTGCCCGTGTGAGTAAAATCCCTATGAGCAATTGCCCGTGTGCGCAGTTATGACTGTGGGCAGTTTTCTATGAGCAGTATTCGTGCGAGTGATCGTCTTGTCGGCAGTTGTCCAGGAACCGTAATATATTAATAAATTTTGGATTACAGTATAGAATTTTGTATAGAAGCTGAGATAGAAATTATTAAAAATCAGTAAAAAATCCGGTCACGATGAATTTATAGGTTATGTGACATACACAATACACATGGTGATAAAACTAGCACTATTTTCTGACGAAGTAAAGACTTGTTTAAAAAAATGCAGAAAAATCGTAGGCCATTTCCACTATAGTGAGACAGCAACCAGAAAATTGATTGAGTGTCAAAAACAATGTGAACTGTGAGAACATGCTGTGGGGCAAGATGTTGATGTGAGGTAAAACAGCACATACGTGCGTGATATTGCCAAGACTTTTAAAGCAACAAAAGGCAGCCAACTTGTACAGTGTTGAACATGTTAAGATTGATGCTCTTCTCTCTAAGGAATGGGATGTGATAAAGAACATAATAGCCGTTTTAAATTTGTTTTATGAAGTCACACTTCATTTATCAATTAGTGATGCATGCATATCAATAGTGATACCACAAATTACAAGTTCGATGCTTGACCCAAAATTTAAACCGAAAATACAAATACAAATAAGATTGTATATGCGGTCCGCACCTAAGTGTCAAAAAAGCATAAAATTGTCTTCACAGCAGACATCGAGAAGATGTACCGACAAATCACAGTGGCAAAGGCGCATCAACGGTACCAATAATTTTATCGAGATCCGACTCAAACGACCTCATCGACGAGTTCGAACTGACAAGGGTCACATACGGAACGGCGGCCGCACCTTACCTTGCCACTAACTCAATCAGCAAGCGACGAAACAGCAACAAGAAGAAAGGAATCTAAGTCCAAATCAAAAATTAATGTGATACCTATAATATTCTTGCTGCTAACCTTCATCAAATCAGCATCCACGTCTGGAATCTTCGTAGAACATCTGAGAATCTCACAAATCACAAGAGGAGAATTTCGAATGCAGGTGAT